CTTATTTTTATTTTGACTTGTTCTTGACTGGTGTATCTTGGAAGTCTTAGCAAATTTCAGTTGTTTATTAAGGTTGCTCAACATAAGACAAGTCAGAACCGGGGCAATAAAAGCCTATTTTATTTGTTTAAATCTTAAGCCCTTTGACTTTCATTTTCTGATTAACTATGATAAGCAAAGATAGGAGCTGAGGTCAAAGTAATAACTTGTTTCTCTTGCCTTTTCTTGGCTTCTGCTCACCTAAATAAATAAGTTTTAAACTGCATGTGGTGGACTGATGCATTGCTGGACCACAGGTTGTTGAGTCAGAAATGAACTTTTTGCCACACAAAAACTGGCTATGTAAGGAGCCGCAGCAGCAGCCTCACACCATTGATCCTCTCTTACTGCATTGAGAAAATCGCTAGGGTAGACTCTGCCTTAGTCAGGTATTGCACAACTATGACTCATATTTTCATTTGTAGTCTTTATTAGTCTACTTCATTTATTACATTTACTGAAAGCAGAGCATTTCTGCCTAAGGTGCGGAAGTTGCAAATCCTGGCTGACAAGATAGATAGAAGGGGGAGAGGCGTTCCAGGAGGCTACAGTCCCAGATTTTAATCTGGTGATGTGGAGCATACAGATTACGTTTCCCAGTTTGCTGTGCTGAGTGGGGACTGATTTAACAGGCCACTGCATGAAGAATAAGCAAGCTATGGTCCGCTCTGCTTCAGGGAGTACTGTTAAGTGCAGTTCTAAATAACGTCTCTGTTATGGGATTGTTAGAAACTTAAGCTTGCCTTTCCAGTCCGCTATGGTTTTCGAAAGCAAAGGAAAAAGATGTTTACAGTGGTCCTGAAAACAGCTATTTTTCTTGTCTTTTTCATGCATAATTGATTTTTGTAATGGACTGGGATTATGGTTCTCCAAACAAAAAGAGTCTTGGAAATAACGAGATATACCTGTATAGTAGCAACTTACTAATTTAATCTTTTCTTTTTATAGAAGAGCATTCCAGTCAGCTAGCATAGTGGAAAACATTCTCTGAGATATGTTTTAGAATAGGTAATTCTCCTTTCACCCCCCCCCACCCCCAACCCACC